CCCCCCCCCCCCCCCCCCCCGTTATCACTTTTTACGAAGAGCTCAGGAGATGAGAATAGGTGTCTCTTGCAGGTAACGCTCGACGTACAATACCTAAATTTCGATTGGTTTTTTAGTGAAAATAGTCGTAAAATTCAGAAAACAAAATCCTATATAGGAATTCCTATATTTTCGAAAATTTGCAATCCGACCCCAGGATATATCAAATCTGTTGATCGAAGTTGTTCATGTGTTTTTGATTTATTGGAAACAATTGAGTTTATTCTTTGTTAGATGAAACATAATTTTGATTGAATTATTTTAGAAGGGGAACAAAAAAATAAATTTTTTTTTGTATTATTTTGTTTAGACACGAAGAGTATTAAATGTTCGTGAAAAAAATCCAATTAATGAACATCCATTAAATTATGATGAATATAAGCCATTTAATATTTGTGCAGCATCCTATGTACCACATTTATCGGTAAGAAATTTAAAGATGAAATCGAATTTAATTTAAAGTAATCTTTAATTCTTGTTTAGTAAAAATCCATTATCCGGTGCAGCCCATTTATCGGAATTTATAGGACAATTATGTCGAGTTACAAAAGCAACTGAAATTGGAATTCTAATTCAATTATCATTATTATTAACTTTTAATGCATATATTTATCATTTTGAACAAGTAACTTATCATTAGAACGTTTTTCTTTTATTTCAAGATAAAGAAATCCGTTTCTAAAACGAGAATTTAGAATCAATACATTTGTTTGAAATAAGTTCACTTCAGTAGCCACTGAAATTCTATGATAATGTATGAATAAATAATCTCAATTTATGAAACGATATCAATGCAACTGAGTACTTTATAATCGTTTCAGAAATTTTAGCGACATGATTTCATTTGATATTTGACCATTGCAATATCTCGATTGACTAACTCAATTAGTAACCTACGCAGATCTACTAAGTCATTAATAAGACTAAGAGATAATTAAATGTCTAACGATATAGTTTTTTTCTATACATATCTTCATATTTAAATAAAAATAAAAATGAACAATGAGAAATAACTTTTCATTCTAAAAACTAAAATTGAAGATAATGATGATTCTCTATTCAATGGTTTATTTTCCCCAATTGAAAAATCTTCCTTGATTTCGATTGACTTTTCTCCAGTTTTGCAACTACAGAGTTTCAAAGTAACAACAAAATAAAAACCTATTCTAAAAACGAATTTTCTTAAATTAATATCGTTTGTAGATAATCATCATGGTGATGAAAATCTTGACTCTACTATAGAAAAACATGATCTTAATGAAGCATTTTCAAGAACTGTTATAATAACAACAATGAAACAAGAAACAACATCATTGGAAAGATGTGTTATTGAAAAACAAATTCAATAATCGTCAAATCAAAATGAAAATATACAAAACTGAAACAGTAAGTAAAATATGTGGAGATAAACATCATATAACAGTAAAAACAAGATGGTAAAATCATTCAAGAATATGGAAATGCAGTAATAGATGAATTAGATCAAATTGATTCGTCATCGAATGATAATAATGATCAACCAATTATTGGCAGGAAGAGACATTCGGATTTTAAAAGAAAAAACTTGTTCTTAAATAAGTTTCCCTGTTTTTTACTTAATATATTTTATTTTTTCCGCTTCGTCAAAACTAAATCTCTTTTCCGATTGAAAATAAACTTGTCGACAGTACCATCATTTTTCTCAACAACGACAGAAAAAAAAACAGAAAAAAGGTGTCAATTCAGGTCGGATGAACATCCAACAGTTTATTAACAACTAGACAAAAACTTTTTTTTCTCTAATCTTCATTTACAACTAACTCACAAATTAGAATATCAATTTAATCTTGTTATTGGTTTTTTAGAAAAAAAAAATCTACAAATATTTCAATATCAATCTTCACCATAAAGTAAATTATTTAGATACGTTGAATAATATATTAGTATCATTCGTGAAGAAAGGAACTTTTCTTTTTGTTAAATAGCATATAAACGGATGCGAAGAAAGCATTGTGAAAATTAAGAAAGTTATTGTTCTCCTTTTCTTCTGATCTAAAGCAGAGATGTCCATCGCGGCTGAGAATTAGCCGCTGCCGCACCGCCGTCGTTTAAAAAACATGGTGCCGCGCCGCTACCGCGCCGCGTTTGTCAGAAAAACGAAAGCTACCGCACCGCTGCCGCGCCGCGTCCACATTGAAATGTAACGCGCCGCTGCCGCGCCGCGGCGTACTGGAAAAAAAATCTGCCGCTGCCGCGCCGCCGCCGCACCACTGCCGCGACAGTACAAAAAATACAGTCTAGAAAATGTGTTCGTCTCTAAAATAAAAAAAATATGTATTATAAAGTTCATGAATTACTGCACCAAATGCAAGGGTGAAAAACAGATCCCGATAGACTCTATGGATCTTATAGATTTCTAAAGAATATTAATAGAGTGTGTAATAAAATTGTCTGACTCTTCAAAAATCGATCAGAATCCACTTAATAAATATTCATCATGAGGAAAACTACAAAAGTATAAAAACAAATTTATTATATTATTCAAAAATGTTAAGTAATGAGCGATGCAAAAGTTTTTACACAAATCTCAAATCCTGTTAGACCATATTACTAACTTCTGAATCAATCATTTTTTTTTGTTAGAAA